ACTTAAATGATTTTAGCAAATGGCTGCAATATAACAAAGAGTGAAAAATTTAAGGGGGTCTGAATACTTTCCGTACCCACTGTATATACAACAGTTATTTCTGGTCCTCGAATCTGATTGGCTGATGAGAGTGCGATATTAGAGTCCAACAGAACTCCAGCAGCCGTTTCATCGTTTGTATCACTCCGCTTGCCGAAGTTGCCGTGTTTCTCACAGCAAGTGTCATGGCGGATGCCCAAATCCACTATAATTTAAAAGATAATACTGTTTTGTGTCACGGAATTTAATTTTAGGCGAGAATGTACTTGTTTGGACTTCAATTATGTGGTTTGTTAATAAAGATAACGTCTATTTGAAAATTTGCTTCGACGTTTTCAGAGTTGTGAGCTCCAGGACATCAGCGGAAGTTCAGCGCTCATAAACCCACGGAGAGAGCGCTTCACCTCGGTCAGATCTTCTGGAATTTACCGCTGGCTCTGACCACACTATAGCGATTAAACATGAGATATAATTTGTTTTGGGTAATCTAACGAGCAGTCTTTGGTCTCATTAATTTATTATTTGTTCCAGAGCAAATAGTTTTGGCAAAATATCATCATGTTTATGTAACTTCAATGCTGTATATCAGAGCACTGCCTTTGTACTTTTGACTGAATTGCCTAGAAACTTTTATGATGGCTGTTGTTGTTTATTAAATAGTATTATTCAATAAATAATATTTTATATAAATTAGATGGCGACAACAGACTGTTTTACGAGTCAGCAATAAAGATTTTTCAATTGAAAAATACTAAACTGCAGTTTTGAACAAGGAAGTTATTTTTTTCTTTCAAAAAGCTTGTACGCAGCCAAAGAATGCACCGAGCTGTCATCAGGAATCACCCTTAACAGATGAAAGGATAGTACGAGCCTATAGGACATTCAAACTAATGATTTATTGTGAATATGAGATTGATCTGAAGACGGACTGCTGGATCAGATGCAGGTAATCAGGATCGCTCAATCAATCTCTCTCTCATAATATTCTACTATACATAATACACCGCTTTTAATTCAGTAATACAATAAGCTTTTAATGAATCAACTCAATGTTCCTTCGTTATTAGTTCTAAAGTGACGTTTTGGAATTAGTAACGAAGGTTTGGGCTCAGCTTGTATTTAATCATGCACATCGGTCCACATGAACTAGTATTTTTTTTTTGCTTTTTTGGCTTTTTACAAATTAATGTTACCATAAACAAAAGCTGAATTAGCTATAATATGAAAATACAAGTTTCACTTAAGACAAAAGTAAAAACATTTTGTTAGCCGATGTTTAATTTAGTTAACTACCTCTAAATAAAGGCATCTTTGAAAGACAGAATGTCTTCAAATGTTACCTCAAATCATAGTTTGTTGTAACATCCACTCAGAACACTCTTGCATTCTGGCTGTGAGTTTTTCACATGCTATCACTTCATTTAAGTCAGAAAATCCAGTTGTTGAGCAATTATTGTGGAAAGTGACCACTCTAGACATTATGTCACACCCAAAACCAACATCATGTGAAGCCCATCATGTGCTGATAGTTCATGGGTTCTGACACACACACACACACACACACACACATCAATATGAAATCCTAACACCCTGTGGCATGATCTGACCTAGGATCCATTTCTCTTAACCACTCAGTAGAGTTCATCCTCACAATTGTGTCCGCGATCAATCTGCAAGCGCTCGGTTGCATAAGCGGAGGCCTTACATAAGCTGTTTGTGTGCAGCCCGTCTCAGACTCCCATCCGAGAGTGGCTCAGAGGAGACTGGACTCCAGAGGGGTTCCCTGTATACTTACACCTGTAACAACATGACACAGCGTAACCCTTCAGCCGAACCGTATCTATATAGGCAACATTTCAGTTCTGAACATCCAGATTCCAACAATAGATGGCCAACAATGGACTAAAGATTATAAACGACCATTGAAATGTAGCTGATCACAGTTTCCCAGAACATCTTCTGATCTCAGATTTTGTTTCTAAAAGCCTTAGTGCTTTGAACCTAAAAAAGAGCAACATCCTTCTTATTACTGACAAATTTGTCACAGAAGTGTGAAATACTGTGTTTACATAGAAAATGTGTGGCATCACACGACATGAAGGTAATTTTCCTCCGAAACCTGTCACATGGTAACAAGCATCAAGAGAGAATGACAGAGGAAGGTGAGACCTCTGCCGAACTCATCATAGCTCCACATGTAATTAGTACATGCTAATTACACACCACTGAGGTTCAGTAGACTAGAGTAGCTTAAAGACTGTCAGGAATTTTATTTGAAAACATTTATTTGACATGTTCACAACATTACTCTGACGCGTCAACTAATGGAGTTTGGGGCAGGACTATCTATTTTGCTTGGAGTTGCTTGCTTGCTCGTAAACAAACCACTAACCACAGACTCACGCTGTTTGTACTACAGACCTTGTTTAGGAAATGTGCTCGTACTAGGGCTGCAACGAATGATTATTTTCATAATTCATTAGTCCAACGATTGCTAGTCAAGTCAAGTCACCTTTATTTATGTAGCGCATTTAACAATACAGATTGTGTCAAAGCAGCTTTTCAGTATTAAATAGGAAAATAGTGTGTAGTAATGCAAAAGGACAACAGTAAACACTCAATTTGCAGTTAAAGTCAGTTCATCATTGATTTAGTGATGTCATCGTCCAGTTCAGTTTAGTTCAAATAGTATCTGTGCAATCAAGTCGACAATATCGCTGGAAATTAAGGGTCCCCGACCAAGCAAGCCAGAATGATTAATCGACTAATCGTCAATTATTTCACAGATTAATCAGCTTTGATCGATTATTCAGATTCGTTAAAATATTGCATATTCTATATATACATATAGAGCTGCATTATAGCAGGAAATAAAGTTGAAATTATAACCGAACGTGACACTGACACTGTTTTTTTCAAGTTTAACATCATAAAGCTGCTTGTTTTAAAGCAATCCTTTGCAGAAAGTGTTACATAAATAAACGTGACGTGACTGGAGCGCACAGCTGGTGCAGACATCCACATCACTATGATCCGATGCTTTCTTAACTGCTGTTTTCTCAGCGCTGTCATGTTTGTTGTGTTTTTATTTCGGTATTGTAAGGAAAGTGCACAGCTTATATTTACATGTTCATCTAAACGTCGCTCTTAAAGCACTGCTTGTGTATATCAATCTTATTTTTACCCCTAAACAAAGAATAAAAAATGACTTGCTTGTGATTATTGGGCCTTCACACATGACAGCATTTTCTGTGTGTAGTTTTGTAAAACTTTCCCACATTCTATGTCAGTCCTGTGTTCCCATGTCTTGTGTTTTTCTCCCCCATGTTCTCCCCATTACCTAGTTTCTCCCTCGTGTCAATTATGTTCATTTGTTTCAGCTGGTTCCTGTTAATTTCCTTGATTAGTCCCATTACTTAAGCCCTGTGTCTTTCCATGTCTAGCATCCGGTAATGTTCGTCTATCCCCTCTGCTACGTGTGCTTTGCTTTGATTTTGTGTAAATAAAGACTTACTTCACGGATTCCCCTATATCTCCTCGCTCCGTCACAGTAGCAGCAGCATCGTGACACTCTACTGGTTTGGCTTTGTTTGCATATCTTCCAGTGCCGGCTCCAGCGCCGGCTCCAGCCCCTGAGTCCGCTCCAGTGTCGGTTCCAGTCCCTGAGTCCGCTCCAGTATCAGCTCCAGCCCCTGGTCTGCTCCAGTGTCGGCTCCAGCCCCTGAGTCCGCCCCTAAAAGGGCTCCAGTTCCCACATCCAGCCCAAGGATTACCTAGTTTCTCCCTCGTGTCAATTATGTTCATTTGTTTTAGCTGGTTCCCGTTAATTTCCTTGATTAGTCCCATTACTTACGCCCTGTGTCTTTCCATGTCTAGCGTCCTGTATTGTTGGTCTATCCCCTCTGCTACGTGTGCTTTGCTTTGATTTTGTGTAAATAAAGACTTACTTCACGGATTCCCCTATATCTCCTCGCTCCGTCACAGTAGCAGCAGCATCGTGACACTCTACTGGTTTGGCTTTGTTTGCATATCTCATAAGCGTCTTCTTTTTTTGGATTGCCGAATTACAGTCTTGCGCTACAGCGCCACACTGGTCAAACTGTGTTATTGCAGGCCCTTACATCATGTGAGTTCGGTTCCTAGTTTCTTCGTCCGGTATTGTTCGTCTATCCCCTCTGCTACGTGTGCTTTGCTTTGATTTTGTGTAAATAAAGACTTACTTCACGAATTCCCCTACGTCTCCTTGCTCCTCGCTCCATCACAGTAGCAGCAGCATCGTGACAGAATACCGGACCAGCAAAAAGTGAGCGGCGCCTCTTCTCCCCGTGTTTTTTTTTTTCCATTTTTGAAAGTGTTTTTGTTTTCCGTGGACCTCCCAGACACCACTGGACTATGCTGGAGGGAAGGGATCCTCCGGTGTCTGGAGAGCATCCAGCCCTGATCCAGAACCGCTCCTCAGTCAAGTCAGCCAGCCGTTCCTCAGTCAAGCCCGCCGGCCGCTCCGATGTCAAGCCCGCCGGCCAGCGGTTCCATTGTCAAGCCCGCCGGTCGGTTCACTCTCAAGCCCTCAGCTAACAGCTGCACGATCCTTAACCCCAAGTCAAGGGAGGAATTTAAGGAGGAAGCGACTGTTGGCTCGAGCCCATGAGTCCGCTCCAGTGTCAGCTCCAGCCCCTGAGCCTGCTCCAGTGCCGGCTCCAGCCCCTGAGCCCGCTCCAGTGCCGGCTCCAGCCCCTGAGTCCGCTCCAGTGTCAGCTCCAGCCCCTGAAGGAAAATACATTTTTGAACATTTAAAAGGGACAAAAAAATTCCCATATCTTTTTGGCATTTTTGTTTACTTTTGTATGATAAACAATGTTGCTTCTTTATTGTGTCAGCACTCAGTGTCAAATATGCGTGCATGAAACTTTACTCCACATTCACAGCATCAGCATGACAGGACATGGAATAACCAGACTCACTTGGCAAGCTTCATTTCAATCTGCTGGCGGATCTCCTGGCGTTCCTGATCACTGCGCACAGGGAAGATGTTCCTGTCCTCCAGCTCCTGTTTGCTGGGTCTGTTACGCAGCTTTACTGCCAGAAGCTCTTTTCTTATTCGTCGTGGAAGTGTACCTGCACAGACCCAAACACATGTTCATATGATCATTTATGAGGGTAAAATGGACCAACAAGGGCCAGGCATGTTCATATATATATTCAATATATATATATATATATATTGTATGAATATAAATACTAATTACAGTGAGAAACACCCAAAAACAAAAGCACTAAAACTGAAAATATTAAAATATAATAATTTAAAATATTACACTATTGACTGAATTAAGATATATTCCAATATATTAATGAATACTATATATAAATAATGCTAAAATAACACTGATCCCAAATCTCAGTTTGAATCCCCAACTCTAAGTGTAAGCAATACTAATAACGATAGTCTGTCATTTTCAGACATTTTCAATTTTTGTTTTATTAAACAGATACTTTGCAAATATTGTTAAGTAGCTAATGTAAAAAAAAAAAAAAAAGATTCTTATTTAACACTGATGTCCACAATCAGCACAAAGCAACAGACCAGAGATGACGGACTCGTTCCAGCTGTCCTGGTCACTGTAGTATTCATCCAGACGCATGTTCTCCTTGTTCTCTTCGGCCTCTTGTTTGTTCTGCACCTCTTCGCTCGGCTCATTCTCAGTGCTGGCGGTGCGGGACAGCCGTCCATCCGAGCGCCGTCTGGGTGAGCTATGGATCTCCTTACCATGGAAACTATGCAAAAGCATAAATGTGCATGTAAAAAAATGACTGAAAAAATGGTTAATGCATCTGAACTCCCTGACTGTGTTTGATTTCCCATACTGTCTCATCTGAGGGTTAAATACAGTTAAATGTACCATGTTTATACCTGAGAAGTCACACTACAGGAATAGTATGTGAGAACCCAACCGGTCAGCAGTCAATCGTTTCAAACATGGTGTGATGCATTTTATAATAGCAAGGTGCCATCATTAAATGGCCACATGCATAAATTCTGTTTAAAAAAAATTATGGAAGATTTTCAATGCACAATGACACATTACTGTTTAATAACGTTTGGGGTCAGAAACATTTGTTGCTGTTGTTGTTGTTGTTGAAGAACATTAATACTTTTATTCAGCAAAGACACATTAAATTAATCAAAAGTGACTACAAATTATAATTTCTATTTCAAATAAATGCTATTCCTTTGAAGTTTCTATTCATCAAAGAATTCTGAAAAATAAAACTAATCATGATTTCCACGAAAACATTCGGCATCACAACTGTTTTCAACATTGATAAAAATCAGAAATGTTTTTTGAGCAGTAAATCAGCATATCAGAATGATTTCTGAAGGGTCATGTGACACTGAAGACTGGAGTAATGACGCTGAAAATTCAGCTTTGATCACAGCAGTCAGTTACAGTTTAACTGATACTCGCATAGAAAAACGCTATTTTAAATTGTAATAATATTTCTGTATTTTTTGGTCAAATAAATGCAGTTCTGGTGAGACTTATTTTGAAAAACATTAAAATATCTTACTGACCCCAACCTTTGAACAGTAATGTACCTATCATGAGACTACATATCACAAAATTCATATGAGATACAGAGTTCTGGCATGAAACTCTAGACGGCGCAGTCCAATAGGTACTCAATCTGACCTAATTACATCATTATCACATGGCACAGCTGATTGGTTTTCTCCTGTATCGGTAGCCAATGAGCTCGCTGCTCAACATTCAAATATATAACTAGTGCTTGCCGTAGCAGTTGCAGCTTGCTTCAGAAACTCTCCACCTTCCCCAGCTCCACCTGTATAGATCTGCTACGAGGTGATTCATGTATGCTATATGGGGGTTATTTCATGTATGTTATATGTACAGCAGCAGTATTTCTTACATGCTCACAGCAGCATGTTGTGGATGTATTGGCAGTAGCAAGTCTCGGTACTTGCTCTGCCGCAGCAGCAGCGTAGCAGATCTATTCCACCAAGACCAAATACATTAACATTGTCATGTACATTACCATGCCAATCCCTCCGAGAGTTGTCATGACAGAACTACATCTATATGGTGCTTTTAATAAATGATTAGGGAATCTGGATAAATGATTCCTGAAGGACTGTCCCGCGTGAGTGTCTCACCTGTCCTGCCGGTGTTTGGTGGCCAGCGCACGGTGCAGTTCCTCGATGATGCAGCTAGGGGGCATCAGACCTAAGTGAGGGGAGCTGGTGGGGGTGGAGATCCTGCCCCGCAGGGCATCTTTGGGCAGGGTGAAGTTCCTGGGCAGCGTGGCAGGAGCGGGCCGGCTCTGATTAGAGTGGGTACCTAACGGACAAGAGCAAAAATAAAAACTGTTGTGACTAATTTAGTTTCATTATTACTTAAAACAAGCACTCTTCTGGACAAATCTAGAAAACTATTATACATACATCTGATAAATTGATACGGACTGTCGAGGCTGCCCAGTCTAGTAAGCAGCTTCACAGGAGGTTTGGCTGGAGGAGTGTGGACTTCTCTGAGCGGCGCCTCCTCTTTTTTCTGCTCATGGCACTCAGGGGCCTCAGGGGGCCCCACACTGGCCCCTCTGTTTGAGGCATCGACACAGGACTTCTCCTCATCCTCACTTTGTTCAAGTTCCCCTTCTGTGTCTATCATCTCTGTGGCGTCTCGCGCTGTAAAGAGATCAGGCCAGAAAAGAGCGTTCTGTAATCTCTGCCGCCACCTAGTGCTAATTCAGCGCAGCTCATTCTGTCAAGCCTAGTAAAAAAAAAGTCATATATTTCAAATACATTTATTTCATACTAAGTATAGTTCAAATCGATCGACAAATTTACTAACATATCGCTCGAGACTTACTGATATAAAAATCATAATTAAACTTTATTTGGAGTACTGCTTGTGCACAATGCACATTTCTTAATATTAAGCCTAAAATGTGTTTTAATGTCACTATTGATGAGGATTGCATGGTCTTTGAATATTATCAGTCTTTAAATGCAAGACATTTAAAGTGTACCTGAAGTACACTTTAGCACAATCAACTATATACTTCCGTATATCTTTAGTTGGACTTCAGCACTAATTCTGCACAATTAAAGTGCATTAAGCACAAAATTAGTTGTTCCAGTTTAGCAGACTTTAAGTTTATCAGTTTAGTATAACAAAAGCACTACTGCAGGGTATTTTTATTAAGTACATAAATATGTAACTGTATTTGTAGTATACTTAGCATGAAATAAATGTTTTTTCAAATTCGTTTTAGCAAAAAAAAATTTCACAAGTGAAGACAACAGATTTGTCCGTTTTCAACATATGAATGAGTCATCACTTGTTACAAAAAAAAATCATATAAAAAGACAAAGCGAAAATGTGCATAATCTGCATACATATCAATTCTAACATATATTACACTTTTTTTTAAAAAAGGGATTTTTGGAGTATGTCTTAAAAGAAAATATTGTTTTTGTCTTTATTTCATGTTCACTTCAGAGTGACACTTGCCATTTCTTTATTTGTTTTTAGCAATTTCTAAATGAAAACTGTTTATACACTCATTTTTTTCAGTGTCAGTATCAAGATGACGTGCAACCTATTTTGCTTCCCTAATGAGTCATATTCCTGAAACAGAATATTCAACAATAAATAAATAAGTAAAGAAAGAAATCATATGGAAATTGTTTTTGTCCATTAATGTGAGTTTGCAGTGCATTGTGGGGCATCTACTCCTTTCCACTGGCCTAGTTTTTGGCTTTTTGACCAGGACTTGCACTGAAAAAATTTGGTGTATTCTTTACTTTAAAATAATTTTCTCTCAGAAATTGCTAACAAATTTCACAAATAATGACAAAGAAATGACAAATGACACATTGAATTACATTTTGAAATAGAAAGACTTAAGTATTTCCTTGTATAACATTCTCCAATAATCTTTGTTTTATTTACAACTTGGAAAAATCAAGTGGTCTTGGTCAAGTTCACCCACCAGAGCACTAAATTACAAAAACATTATTGTAGAAACACTGCAACAGTGCTAAAGTTAACAGCATCAATTTTCACTCCATGTTGGCTCTCAGTCATCCGTTTTGCAGAAGGCCCTGCGTTCACGGATCCTGACCTGCGGACAGATTGTCCTCATCAGACCCGAGATCCTCGGTGTTGCTGGCCAGCGGAGCCATGGGCTCATCCTCGCGCTCCTCTCCGTCAGAGTCGTCCAGCGCTGGGGCTCCTGCCTCGTCTGGACTCACGCCACACGCCAGGCCAGACTCTGCAAGCACGGGAAAAACGGCTGTCATCACGTTCTCATAAAAGCCTCCTAACTCTGCTGGTGGTCAAACAGGAGCAGGTGATCTCGCTAACGTTACGCCTGCACGCTGCTGCTGACAGCGGGGAGCTGAAGAGTGATGTTTCTCACCCATGCCAGCCTCTGCCAGGCCCTTCCTGACAAGATCATCACGATTCTGCCTGCTGGGCACTTTCCTCTCCAGCCCTGCAGATACCATCAGATAGAGTCAAATATAGATCTCACTGAACACAAACACAAACACTACAGTCCTTCAGTCTCTAAAGCAAGCAGTGTACAAGAGATACTGAGAATCAATTATAAAAATCAACGCTATCAAAATGTATTTATTGCATGCGATAAATTAAAAATGTTTAGCAATGTAAAAAAATGTTTAACACCATTAACACATTTATTCAGTTTGACATTGGAACTCTTTTATTCAACAAACAATAAGCAATAAAATTAAAGGTCAAGCTTTATTTTGAAAAAAAAAAGGAACAACTAAAGACTGATATCATAGACATTTTTATAATAAATATACATCTTTCTAGTTATGTTAAGCTCTAAAATATTTTATCTGATAGAAACTGCAATCTGTGAGAAAATAATTATAATAATGATTAATGAGTAAATAATTATTATACAACCATTATTACCAATGAATTGTAATGACTTTTCTGGTCATTTGTGATTACAGGGTTTTAAAATAATAATAATAATAATTATGATTATGATTATTATTATTATTATTATTATTATTATTATTATTATTATTATTATTATTATTATTATTATTATTATTATTATTATTATTATTATTATTATTATTATTATTATTATTATTATTATTATTATCACGACGAGGCGTTCCCCATAGCGACCCCTAGAGGACGCAGTTCGAAGTTCCCATGAAAGGGAACTATTCATTTTATTACTGAAATTACAGTAATATAATGTAATAGCATGAAAGCTGAAATGCTTTTCCTAACTCACCTGTAGAGCCCTGTCTCAGTTTTTCATTTTTCTTTTTAAACCCTGTAATCACAAATTATTATTATTATTATTATTATTATTTTTAAACCCTGTAATCACAAATTACCAGAAAAGTCATTACAATTCATTGGTAATAAAATGTAAAAATAAAACCGAGATAAATATTTTGTCATTAAAACATTTGTAATTGTGGAATTTATTAATTGTAATAATTTATAAGTATTTTATTTACTTACATTATTATTATTATTATTATTATTAAAAACAATTTATATAAATCTAAGCAATTACGTTTAAATCATATGTTTTAAATAAATATTTATATAAACATCTAAATATTTAATTAAACTCATTTGAATTATTTAATAAAATATTTAATAAAAAATTGGCACTCTTCGTTTCTGTACATTAAAAATGTCAGAAAGGTTGAGAACCTTTGCTCTAGGCCTTGTAGCTTTAATTAAACGGTAAAATTATTACACTCAATTTCACTTATTATCCATATTTCATTTTTCTACATCATTTTATTAAAGGAATGATCAGTGTTCAATACAAGTTTATGTCAATTGACAACATGTGTGGTGTAATTAATAAGGAAAACATTTTTGACTAAACAAACAGCTTTTACCTGTTACTCGTCTGTTTCTGACAGTCTGTCAGTTCATGCACTAGGTGAGGATTTTTCAGAGTATTTCTGCAGATTATATTACACCAGTAGATGTGTTTATGACTGAGTCACTGAATCACTCATTCAACCAGTTTAGACTCATTAAAGGGGGAAAAAAACACTACCATTCTGCTTAGAAATGATCAGCACTGTGGACAAATAAAGACAAAGTAAGTTGCACTATTTTACTGTTTAAAATGTAAGTTACTCAATATTGACTTCTTGTTTATTGAACTGTAGGCATGAGAGCACACTTTCCCCTGCTGATATTTAAATTAATCACACTGTTGCTTGAACGATTTTTCTTACATTTAGCATTAACCTGTCAGAATCTAGAAATATATAATGTAATAGCATGAAAGCTGAAATGCTTTTCCTAACTCACCTGTAGAGCCCTGTCTCAGTTTTTCATTTTTCTTTTTCCTCCACTTCCAGGGCTTGAAGATGCGTCCCAGGCTGGCCAGTTTGCTGTTGCGGCGGATGGGGGGAGTTCGGACCCCTGACACCAGACAACCGGAGTGAAGCGCTCTGTGCTGATCCATCACATCTACAACAAAACACAGACCAGCAGAAACGTGCTGAACCTAAAGCTGCCCACTCTTGATATTAAAGGGATAGTTCACCCCAAAATAAAACTCACCCTCGTGTCGTTCCAAACCTGTAAGACCTTTGATCATCTTCAGAACAAAAATTAACCGTAATTTTACGAAGCTACGAGAATAGCTTCGTAAAATTAGGGTAGTGGGGTCCAAAACAACACTGGACCCCATTGACTTTCATTGTATGGACAAAAACAAGAAATATCTTCAAAATATATTTTTAGAAGAAATTCGTACAGGTCAATAATGACAGAATTTTCATTTTTGGGTGAACTATCCCTTTAACAAGTTACAACCAGTCCGATTTCAGATTCTGAAAGTTCTGTGTAAATGAACCGTGAAAGTTTCAATCTGATTTACAAATAGGTTTACATTTGCATTATATGTATTAAAAACAAAACTTTAGTCTGAACTGGTGAAAGCCACTGCAATAATGTAATCAGAGCTACCGTCATTACCGTGTTTTCCCCACGATTACATTTCTAACAAGAATGCTGACATATGTGACCCTGGAGCACAAAAGCAGTCTTAAGTCGCTGGGGTATATTTGTAGCAATAGCCAAAAATACATTGTATGGGTCAAAATGATCAATTTTTCTTTTATGCCAAAAATCATTAGGATATTAAGTAAAGATCATGTTCCATGAAGATATTTTGTAAATTTCCTACCATAAATATATCAAAACTTAATTTTTGATTAGTAATATGCATAGCTAAGAACTTCATTTGGACAACTTTAAAGATGATTTTCTCAATATTTTGATTTTTTTGCACCCTCAGATTCCAGATTTTCAAATAGTTGCATCTCGGCCAAATATTGTCCTATCCTAACAAACCATACATCAATGGAAAGCTAGAAGATGTATAAATTTACCCTTTTTGGTTTTCTGCTCCAGGGTCACATATCTGTCAGAAGAGCTTTTTTAGCAAATATTTTGTAGATATTCAGTCTCATCCACTGGCTAGTTCATAAGGTGTGAGATGTCAATAAACATACTGTATATACAGTACGTTCATAAGTCATAAAACGTATGTAAACACACACACACACACCACAGAACTGTGTATTTCTGAAGTGTTTTTGAATCTGATTTAGAAAACGGTCAGATTCAAGCATTTGCATGCTTATTTTTTCCCCGTGTTGATTAAATTATTTCAGGTCTACCCCACTTCTTTCAATCTGATCGAGCTTTCTCTTGGATTGAGCTCATCTGGATCGATTGAGGTTTTTACATGAAGGCTTTTCAGTCTGACAAGACATCAGTCTGATTATAGAGTTATTATCTGGGTGCATGTAAATGTAGCTACTGACTGCATCACAAAACATTTCGGATGCAGTTCACACCAGTATTTGGTGTTGTCCACTTGACATCAGAACACCTGGGACAGATGTTAATAACAGCTGCAAAAGGGGCCAATGATATTCTCTGGGGAGTGAATGGTGTCTGCATACAGCAACAAGGCCTGTGTCGAATCTCAGGACACATGGCTGAGCATTTGCTGGGCCAACAGCATTTGTTTACCACAGCATATGGGTTATCTCCCCAAAGTCAAAACATTAGTTTCAATTCAAAAGCTAAAGAAACACATGAAAAACTGACCAGAAATGGATCTGTTACTCTGAAAAGTTCTGTTGTTATTTACTCAACCTCATATTGTTCGAAACCTCGATGATATTCTTCCTTCCAAAGAACACAAAAAGAGAAATTGTGAAAAACCTTTATGCTGCTCTTTTCCCTTTCGTTAAAAAAGGACTAAAACCAGATGAAAAACAGCACAAAAGCAGTGCATTATAGCCTCCCGAGACCCCAGATATGGAGTTTTTGTCTCTGTAGAGGACATGATATGTTAGTGAATTGGTCTTTAAAGATGGCTGACAATAATTTAGTGATAAAATTGTAGAAATATGATCATATTCTGTAATTATCATTTAAATCTGATTAATTTTCAAATTGTTTGTCATAAATCAACATCTTAGGAAAATGTTATGGGGTTTCAAATCAAAATATGACTTTCTGTTATAATTGTATACATGTCCACTGTAGAGGACACTGGGACTAAAAGCATGTTTATTATGCATTTTGGAAGACAAAACAATTGAATAGGAAAATATAATTTCAATATTTTCATGAAATTATTACTCCCATTATTACACTTGTTTTTTTCAACATGCTGTCCAAACAGCACATTAATATGCATCCTTAAACAAATGTTGGCATAAAAAAAATCCTGAAACCTAAAAATTGAATGGTGATTTAAAAAAAATAATAAATTCCATTGTCTTTGCCTTTTAATGTCTATTCATGTCCCTTTATTTATTTCTTTTTTTTAGAAAAACTGAGTCCTGGTGTCCTCTACCGAAGACATAGCATAACATTTTACAAAAATGTTATTTTTTGATTTTTTTCTTATGCTCTAAACAATGTAATGACATGAAATAAATACTAAATTCACAAAAGCTTCTTTTTTTTTCTGGTTCTCCGAAGGATATTGCAAGTCTTTTGAAAACCTACAATAGCACTGTTTAAGGGAGAGACCGAAGGCATTCACAGAAGATATTGCACATTTTCAAGCATGCTGTGTGAAAACACATGGAACCAAGTTTGACACTAATTATTCCAAACGCCGTTGGTTCTTACTAGTCACATGACTGATCAAGACACGGCAAGTCCAGCTTGACAGCTCATGTTCATGGTATGCTCAATCATACGCAAAAGAGCATGTCACTCAAATAAAGAGCCATCGGTTTCTTTAACTTTCTGCAGATGTCCAATTCACAGGTGAATCCTGTTCTGTGGACACACAGCATCGCATTATGTCTGTCTCACATGGTCTGCGCAGACACCAACACACAAACAACTGACTGTTTTAAAAGGCCGTCCTGAATTACCCACGGAAATCAATTCAGTCCTGCAACTCAAGGCACAAACTGACCAACTCCAAATGCACACTGACTTCCATACGTCAATCTAGCAGACAGGCTGGCACCGGATGAGTCCATCTCAAACCCCATGAAACTCGTGACAAGACCCTTTGAGTAAGAGCTAGAGGGTCCAGCATAATGAGGCAGCGCTGCGCCGGAGCAGGAATAGAAGCATCTCTCCTACACAGTCTGGCTGAGAGGGAGAGCTGACACCTCAGGAAGAGTGCAGATGAACCGTGGGCAGCGCTGAGAGCTTCTATCTCTGTCTGTTTCTTCCGTTTGTCACACCTAAAACAGCACGAAAATGAAAAGACAACAACAACAACCAACACCTGTTTATATCAGAAGGAATAGTGATGGATATTATAACTAATCCTCAACAATCCTTTCTTTAGATAATATGTGCAGAACTCCCATCATTATACTAGATCAGGGGTGTCCAACCCTGATCCCTGAGTTATATAAATACAATATGATATAAATAAGATATTTTGGGGTGTATTCCCCATTGTATAATGCAAAATTGGAAAAAAGCAAAGCCACTGGAAGGCAAGCATGTTTAACACTACACAATACCTTCGTTGGGAACTATACCGTATGTAGATTTACCTTGATAATCTATCAAGGTAAAATGTTATTTTTAAGAGAAGTTATTTTTTACATGGTTCCAAACACAGATGCTTTTATTTTTTATTTCCCTGAAACACAAAAGGATGCTTTTCAAAGAAGGCTGCCATTGTGGGTTTATATCATACACTGAAAAATGCTAAACAACCATATTTGAAGTGCATTTTTATATTGGTCAGATCAAAAGTTTAAACCTGTTTTGTTCAGTTTGTCTAAAAGCAAATAACACTCCCCACAGGAAATAAAAGAAAATTGTAATTAGTCACTTGTTAATACATAACAAAAAATATGATGCATATTTAAAAAAAAAAAAAGACATCCTAATAAACATTACAGTGCTTTCAAAGTTGTCTTTATTTGTTGTAAATACAGAATCCACCCGACTGTAATAAGCATTTAGAGTGGCAGACAGCAAAACCACAGCAACAACATAATGTTACCATTATAGCTATCATTCGTGGTATTAACTACATAGCACGGAGAGTATTAATAAATTCCAGCATTAGTGTGAGTGTTAGTAATAGCTATGCTTGCCTTAGCACGCACCATAAAATATGTAATCAGTAATGTAAAACAAACAATACAATAATTTGATGCTTCATTTAGTGAAAGCCTATAATGGTCCATACATCACACACTGCTCTGGTGAATCAACGCAATCAGAACAGCACACAATTTCTGCAGTTTCAAGGCTGATATCAAAGAATCGTTGACGGAAATAAAATTGCATTTTCAAATTTATAATGCTAAAGGTGGTGCGGCTAAATATTATCACAGTATGTGGTAAAGCATGGCAGCATGTGGGTGATGGGATGGAGTGTCACTGTAATATTAGCGGTGGAAAGGACCACAATCCCCTTCCAGCTCACCTTCCGTTGAAAAAAAAATATATATATTTCTTTCGACTACAGCTTCCACTGCCATTAAACTTGTTAAAACAGCCATAACAAAATCATGTATGTTTGTCTACAGTTATTCATGCTGAATGCAGTAGCTGTGCTGTGTATTACGCTCACCAAACTGTGCATTAATGTCAGGCATCTATATAACAGCTCAGCAGTATTGCTATCGCATGTAAAGTTTCTATAGAGAGCAGAGGATGCATTGCAGCTTCGATTTCTCCAAGATGCCGGTGTGGTGCTGTCAGACAGAGCCCAGGCAATGTAAAGCAGGTCAGCTGTTCATGTCTTACTAAACCAGCAGTGCAGAATCCAGGTCAAACTTTTAGTTACCGCAGCTAAAGCACAACCCAGGGTCAGAGCGCCGTTGCCATGACGACTCCTCCGGATGCTGCAGTGCAGCATCACTAACGGGGGTTGCTGGGTGGATGGGGAGGCTGTTGCCACACAGAGCGACTAGAAACCCTCGAGAGCCAATCAGAGTCGAGCGGCACAGAAC